TATCTTAGGTCGCCGTGACCTGGTTTTAGTCGGGCGGAAGACGCCATGCTGAGGTGTTGCGAGCCCTTGCGATTGCGCCGACGGCTCCAAGTGCTGCAACACGTCGACCTCGAAAGGTGTCAAAAATCGCGAGGCTTGGGCAGAGAGAGGGTTTAGGGTCTAGGGTGGCTCGTAAACCCTAATGCCGCCCAGGGTTTAGGGCATTTTACTGAAGAGACACTGGATTCCAGACCGTCCAAGACCCTCCATTGTCGCTGTCTATCGACGTGGCTACGCTTAGGCTGATTGTATCTAGTAACTTAGTATCTCCCCCAGGGGCAGCTATTGCACTTCCAGGTTTTGGTTCTCCGAAACGGAGGCAATCCTTTCTACTTGGGTTGCTCCTGGAATCTAGTCGTAGCTCATCTGCCAAGCTCCAAACCAGGTTTGATGGCACAGCTTTGTCTACGTAAACTGTATACCCCTTGAAACACCCCACAGACTGAAGCTCTGAGGTCTCTGGGCTCTTTGCATATCTCAAGCCTGAAGCCTCAAAGCCCTTCCTGATTCCCACGGCCCCTCACTTTGCTGCTTGCAGAAAAAGGAAAGACTCCAAAAGTGCCCTTAGCTCCAAAAGGATGCCGAGCACTGCTGCTGCCCCGCTTCCGACGAACTGCTCTTTGGCTCGGCGGCCGCCGTGTGCGTGGAGGTCGGGTCCGCAGAGGGCCTTGGGGGTGATCGAGCTCCAGCGCCCCTCTTTGAGGATGACGAGGAGAAAGAAGGGAGGAGGACGAAGAGCAGAGGACGATGGAGGAGGAGGAGGAGGAGGAGGAGGAGATTTGTGAGGAGTATGACAATGATGATAAAGACGATGGTGTTGACGACTTCGACCATGACAGCGATGATGGTGGTTTAGGTTTCGGCGGGGATGATGATAGCAATGACGATGATGATGGCGGTGGTCTTTTGACCGATGGGCTTCTGTGGCTTCGGTGTTGTCTTTCTTCTTCAGCCTGTTCTTGTTGCTACGACCAGCAAAGCCTCCCGAGGCAAAGAAATGCCAGTACACCTGTTGCGAAGCCGGCATGAAGCTCTGTGGGAGCGAGTGCTGCGATGCATGGGCCCCAGAATTGGCATGACTAGGCCCTGACTAGGCCTGAAGTTTCCGGACAAGCTTGCTGGTCGGTTTATATGTTCTGGTTTCGTGGTCTAGGAAATACGGCGGCTTGAAAGCAGGACTTTCTGCGTCCCGATCTGTACCAAATCCTCGAAATCTGTACCCTTGCCTACAGCAAGGCTTCTGCCAAGTGTGGGGAAGGAAAGTGTGGTTCCAGCACCACGACGACGCCATCCTCAGGTGCCACTGGTCATAGCATATCAAAGGCTAAAATGGGAGCCGGGGGGGGGGGGGTTACAATGCTCAAGCTTTCCTCTGCAGTCGCTGCTGTATGTTTTGGGTCTGAAGGAGTCATGCATAGAATTTTTCCAGCCTGCACCCCCGGGCTCTCGGTGCGAACCCGGACGCGAGTGGTTTCCAGACGGACTTGGGCCCCTTTGAAGTCTGAGCTGCTTGAGCTGCAAAGCAGGCTGTTCGCAAAGATCCTGGTGGGAAATCGTGCCGGCCGGGAACTCGGTGCATGCAGAATGGCGGAGGCCACTACGCCCTCAGAATCCCCCGGCAGGTGGAATTTGTCACCACGTGATGAAATCTTCGGCGAGAGCATCGGAGATCCCAAGCATGTGTCATGCTTCCAGATTCTTCACACCGGAATGTCCAGTATGGGCCTCACACCTGCCGCATACCTGTCTAGCATGACGGGAAGGGCCTCAGCCTTCAGGTCAGGTCTCTGGGACTACCGGCATCTTCCAGAACCGCATCTAATAAAGGGGCTTGAATAATTACCACTACTATTTTGGGGGTTCCTGATCACAGGCCATGTTCTAATTTGTTAAGGACCCTTTATTAGTTAAGCCAACAGGATCTTCCAGAACTTTTCTGGAGCCCGCAGTTCGACTGTGTGCAGCTGATCGGCCCAGGGGGAGAAAGTCTGGTCGTTCCTCCTGGAGTTCATGGCGGCCCCAGGCCGGATTACCTGCTTTGGGGGGCGTTCGAGGTTAGCGGAGTGGGGGCTTAATGTTCAAAAGTTTTAGGGCTTTTGGCCTAGGTTGTCGTAGTTCGAGGCTTTAAAATTGTAGGACTTTTCCTCCGGGTCGTTGGTTGACTGCAGGTTTGAGAAGTTGTGAGACTGAAGCCAAGGATGCTGAATGCAGGAAGCGGAGGGTTTTCCGGCTCTGGGTCTCTTGGATTTTCCGTGCAGCTCGAGTTCTGGGGTGTGAGGTCGCTTTTTGCTAGCCCTGGCTACTGTCCAACACCCCTTGCAAGATAAGAAAAGATTCAAGAGCAAGAAGACCTCAAATGTCAACGTACGCCATACTGTATCAATGCTTGATCGTGACTACGGGTGGTATCCGTCGCAACCTGTGCCGGTTGGAGGCGATTGTGTTCTTTGAGTACTATCTATGTGCAGTTTTTTTGCTGGCGGGCCTATACATTAAAAGGATGTGCTGTGGGTCTCTTGAAAATTACTACTCCGTAATGTGCTGTGGAAGCCGTCTGGAGGCTGAAAGCATGGCTGCCAGGATCGGATAGGAGGCACCCGAATCTTCTCAGCCTGCCCCATGAAAAGTTTGAATCAGAAGAGTAGCTGTGAACCTCAAAGTAGCTTGCTTCTTAGCGCCCATGAACGGGCAATCTCTCTCAGCCCAAGTCTTCCGGAGCCCTGAACCAGCTGCCTTCTGTGGCCTCGGCGCTGTCTGCAGCAGCTACTTCCTGCGAAGACGAACCCGGCTCGCTTTGACGACGCCCAGGTGACTTAGCTTGAGAGAGGTGGGGATGCAGTGTCTGTCTATTCCTCCATATGGCTGGTGTTGGGGGCGGGACTCGCATCCTCAATGCTTCGGGCTCGACAGACAAAGATGAAAAATGTAGAACCAGGTGATTACGGCCTCTTCCCCTTGCCCAGGCATGGTTTCCACGTATTTGAGTCTGGAATCTTATTTAAGTGGGGTCAGGTGTGGCGAGGCCGCATGGTCGATATTCCGTGGATCAACAGGCTCCTTCAGCTCGAGGTAATAGTCTAGCAGTTCCGGTCAATATGTGATGTTTGCAAGCCTCGAGGGTCGGAGGAGCCCTTCAGGCTGAAGGAGCTCGGGTCTAATACCTTGAGGCAGCAGGCCAGTGAGTTCAAGCTGCTCCCGCCTGATGCAATGCCCGAATGCTTGTTTGATCCATCGCGGCCATCAGCTTTGAAGCCACGAAGCTACAGGGGACGAGTAGATCAAGCCTCAAGCCAGGCTTAGTGAGCACGGCAACAGCTTTATCCTTTACTGGAGATGGTTCTGACACAGGAAATTAGCCTTGAACCAATCTGGTCTTCCGGACGAGCCACTCCTTGAGCGGAAGGGCTTCTATTCAGAGCACCAAATCCGAAACGCCGAGGTGCTGATATAGAAGCCTGTAAAATTAGTACATAATTTCCCCCAGAGCCCCTCTATAGTTGTAATGCGCTGCACCCCAAAACCCGATTTAGACTTGTGAAAGCTCCTGTATCACCCCAGAGCCCAGAATTCCCAGGCCACTCCGCCGTTTGGGGGATGAGGAGAGCAGCCTGGACGGCTTTAGCTAGAAGGGCTTGCAGGGATGCTTCTTCCGGCGGTTCGAGTTTGGGGCTGGAGGGGTACAGCTCTATTCCATGGCACTGCCCGGCAATGCCTCGACATCGCAAAGGGTTCCCGACGAGACCTTAAATCTCGGCTGACTCGCGTCACACCTAGAACCTCCGCTGCTGTGAACCGATGAATGTCGCGGGTTTCGCGTTTCGGGCTCAGTTTCGAACATCTAATCTTCCTGCCGCTCGCATGCGCGCAGCCAAGGTAGTTACAGCAGATCCGACATCTAATCTAGCCTGACGCAAGGCGGGCCCAGAGGTTTGGACGTCGCCGCAAAGAGTCGTTGTAACGAGGTGACAGAAAGGATTGGCAAGAAGGATCACTAGGACTACCAGGCTGTCCATGTGAAGGCATCAAGCCATATCAAGCCCTGGCTTGCAGGCGTGCTGGCGGGGATGCCCGGGCAGTACAGCGCTCGGCCGGTTCATCCCCGGCCGTAGATGAAGGGGTAGATTTCCACTAATGGGTTCTTTCCAGTTCTTTCCATCTTGGTGTGTGGGTCTTTGTATCCCAACCGTTGGAACCTGAACACAGCATGGAAGATGCTACCCATTTAATTATTCCCCCTGGTCCTGTGGCTGGACAACTACGATCTTAACAAGATGTCTTCAGAGTCAGTGTTTCAGAAATTCACAGGCTAAAACCGACCCATCAATCCGCAATGCTCGACTTTCGTGCTATCTTGTTGTGTTTTTCTGGTGTTCAATCAGAGCCAGGGGCCATAAATGTCTCCGAGCGGGGGCAGTCATGTACAAAGTGTTTATCTGGCGGTTGCCCTCTGGCAGGGCACACGCCTGCGGCCCTGACATTCAGGCTCAGCCTAACTCCCAAGCTTGAACCGTCAAGCCACAAGCCACAAGCCGCAAAACCGCAAACCCGACGGTGGTCGGAGAATGTCAGATTTCTCGCGCCCGCAACAGGACCCGGACATCGGACCCCGGATGTCACTGAGCTTATGAGACCTAGAACAAGAAATCGACAGTCTTGAGGGGTGCGGTCATCGTAGTTGCATGGCTGTGAGATGTCAGGGTTTGTAGGGCTGGCCACTCCGGGCGCCGTGATGCGTCTGACAACTCGTTGGCGAATGTGTGTGTCGCCAATGCCGCGGCAGGGAGGAAGCGCATCAATCCGTAAAAAAAGTCTCCTAAGTTGCCAATGTGAGCATCCTCTGCAACGTCGTCCGGCACCACCACTTTCTTCTTGCAATCTACTGAACCATAGCCCTGAACCTGAACCGCCTCGACTTAACCCCAAGATGCCAGGACCGCGCCATTGCTTTCCTGGCACAAGAGATGCCGGAGGTCCGCTCCCTGAATCTGGGTTCCGAGCTTGGCTGCCGAGCTTCGATGTCTGCAGTGGCTGGAGGACTTGTGGGTGTTGGCGGTCAGGGGTGGAGTCGGAAACTCAAGGTTTCAGGCCCCGTGACACAGATCTTGGCAGCATCGAAGCCTAAACCCAAAAGCCCTAAGCCCTAAAGCCTGAACCTGAACCCTAAACTCCAAACAAACCCAAAGAGCTCGAAACCCTAAGTCCCATCCCGCAGGGCATCGATGCCGTCACAGACTGCGGTCTGCCGGCTCTGGGCATCGCCTGCATCCGGCCGGGGTTTGGGCGGTTTGGGTGTCTGCTTCTTTTGTCTCAGAGGGACTCTAAGAGGGATTCTATGAGTCTACGCTTGCAATTTTTCTTTTGGGGTGGGGAGGAGAAGCCAAGATCACGGTTAAGGGATTCTGATATTTGCATGCTTTTCTGGGTGGTCCAGGTCCAAATTTTCGGGTCTAACGTTTCTGCAGACGTCAAAGATTCCTAGAGTCCAAAACAAGTGTCCAAGCAACATATCTTAAACCCTCCAGCGATTTTTAACTACCCACGCAGTTCAAGGGCTCGGTATGCCAAACCTCCAGTTTAAATCCCATAGCCTGGTCGGAGCACATTAGCAGTTTTGGTGTTTTCTGTGCTGCGTCACACAAAATGCCTGATTTCTGGTGAGCTGGTTGCTCATGTTTAGGAATTGGAGTGGGGGATTCAAGTTACAAGGCAAGGTGATAAAAGGTACCAGGATTTACGTCTACAGACCACCCTGAAAGCTTGTAGAACAGAATGTGCACTAACGTCGCAGTTGGTTTGTCTAGTACTGGCAATGACCATGCTGACGACAGTGATCACACTAAGCCAAATCTGTTAACACTGTATAATTATGCTGCTGCTGCGGCTGCTGTGTTTGAAGCTGCTATTATTGTTGCTGCTGCTCGACTTCCTGATGCTGAAAACACCTGTCGTGTGGTTTAATGATTCATTGATTGTTTTCTTGTTGTGCCAAGCAGTTATCCTTTGCAGGGGCTATGTCGATTGTGCCAGGCCTGCATCGGGTGGCTCGGGTTGTCTGGTGCACACTTGAGGGAGCTGCCCCTTGACCCGAATCCCTGATCCCCGAATTCAAAGTGCTAGATTCCGTTATCTTTTTGCAGCAGCCCGTTTGCCCTGGAGTTGCCCAAAAAAGCACACGTCCGTAGCCTTCCGGAACTTACTAGTATGATAGCACTATACACGGAACGTAGTGCATCTTTGGTGTGGCAAACCACGGTCTAGTAACTAGTCTAGCAGTCGACATCTCTAGTTCATTGATGGTCTTTCGGTTACGACCGCCAGCTCGAGACCTAGCCAATCCGGAACTGACGGTTTAGTCGGGGCCTAAGCTTAAAGGAGCTGAGTTGTAGGCTCGGCTTTCCAGCCTCATACCAACTTCTGGTTCAGAATCCAATAGTGGCTTGCAAACAAGAACTGGCTTGATTGGGGTCATTCTAGCAGGCATCATCCAGAGACCATGAGACGAATGGAGAGATTGGGTGTCAGCTTTACAGTTCATAGCTGAGAAGGAGGGGAGGAAGCGCGTTGAGATCAAGGCATTTGTTCGCTTTTAAAAGCAGGGGTTTGTCAGGGAGATTCAGCAGGAGTGATTGAAGGAGAGTTTCTTAGAGCACCGATGGCTGGCAGAGTCTATGTCTCCGCAAGCCAGATCACATTCGGACACTGTAGCATCGTAAAGCCTTAAGCTGATGGGCTAAGTTTCCCCCAGGCTGAGCGTCGCAAGACAGGAAGCATCATCCTGTGTACTGTGCAGCGTCTCGATTTCGCACACAAGTTGAACTGAGATTTCGATGCATACTGCCTCTTGAGGCATGTTCAAAGTTGATGAGGACAGCCTGAACTACTCTTTGTGTTAAAGCTTTTCTGTTTTAATCCAAAGTCCACCCACGGCCCCACTTAAACTCCCAAATTCCCGAAACGAGACGCCTAAAAAGCTGGGACCCGGACTCTGCACGAGAGGACTTTGATCCAGTGCAGTGCCTCGCCAGAACAGCTCGATGCCCGGGGCAACGGCCCCTTGCATTGGGCAGCAGTGGGGGACCCAACATTACGTCGTAGGGGTCGGAATCATTAATCATAATGTCCTTCAGAGTCCCGATATAAGTATACCATATACTGTACCCCACCCAAAGATCCGTTGTAGAATCAAGGTAGAATGTATCCCAGAACCCTATTCTCATCATCATTATGGCCCTTGTGTTACTGCTTCTTGCCTTTTGCTCGGGCCGGGGCCCTCCTTTTTGCTTTCATGTGCGCCTGCCACTGGGTTGTGACAAAACGTAGGATCGGCAGATTGGGGCTTCAGGGTTCTTGGCGCTGCCGCTTGGAGTGGCTTTGTGGTTTCGAGATTGTGTGTTGGATCATGCTGGCTGGATCCGTTTGGATTACGGCAGATGTATTTATGCAGAGCTGTTCTCGGATGACACCTACGGCCAAGTTTACTAGTTCAAGAGGCACAGTGGCTGTCCTTGAACAACAACAACTACTACGACGACGACTGCTTCTGCTGCTACTACCAGCACCACCAGCACCACCAGCACCACCAGCACCACCAGCACCACCAGCACCACCAGCACCACCAGCACCACCAGCACCACCAGCACCACCAGCACCACCAGCACCACCGGCACCACCGGCACCACCGGCACCACCGGCACCACCGGCACCACCGGCACCACCGGCACCACCGGCACCACCAACACCACCAACACCACCAACACCACCAACACCACCAACACCACCAGCACCACCAGCACCAGCAGAAGCAGCAGCACCAGCAGCAGCACCACCACCAGCACCACCACCACCAGCACCAGCACCAGCACCACCAGCAGCACCACCAGCAACATGGCAATCATCGCCCAGCCCCCTCATCTCAGTTTTCCGTGCTTGCAGAGGCATGGCTTGGAGGACAGTGCTTAGCTTATGCATAATTTGTGCTGACTTTTCACATGTGCGGCTGCATTCCCAGCTACTCCCCTGAGTAATTTCAAGACCAAGAAGCCAGTGGAGGTATATACAAGCCTCGGTATTTGTCTTTTCAGTGTCGTGCTGTTTTCCGAGGCCAGCTATGCTGATAAAAGCGCGAACGATCTGGCCGAGATGCTTCTGGAGGCATTCTTTTCTCTTCAAGAATGATTCAGGATCCCAGTGCTCATCCGAGATTTTCAGGGTTAACCCTAAGCCTCGCGTCCCGCCGTCAACGGCTGACGCAGGCGGGTGCAGACCCCTTTGCTTGCAACGGGAGCGGCCAGCTGCCCGACATCCCGAACCTGCAGGACAGTGGGATCGAATGCAAGCGGGTTCCGAGTTCCCAACCTTATAACGCATGAGTCCTAAATCTTTCTGTTCCCGTAAGCCAATGTGTATGGCAGAGATTTGCAGAGTTCAAGCAGAATCGTTGGGATCTTCGCAGGCATGAATTAACACGATCATCATGTGCTGCTAGAATCGTGATTCGTATTCATTGTCCTCGTCGTTGCGATTTGCGCTTCCAGCATCAGCATTAGCATCTCAGAGTCACCGCCATCACCACCATGACCGTCATAGACCAAACACCCAAACCGCAAGCCCCAATGGCCTGAAGAAGCGCTGAAGCCCTACAGCCCTAAACCCCCTCAAACAGTTTTGAATAGCTCCAGGACATGGCGCTAGCGCAGGCTGCCGCCCAGCGCCAGCAGGCAACTCTGTGCTGAGCCGGTTTTCCAGCGTCGGGTCAGCAAATGGTTTTCGTTTGTGAAACCGGGGTTTCTCGTCGGGCAGGACGGTTGATCTGCGGGTGGGTGATTGCCAGTGACTCCACTGGGACGAACTACTGCATCGGTTGTGCTGCGATCATGAATTCATTTGACTCGCATTTGTGCCCCCTCAGCCGAGAGTGTTCGGAAAGGCGTTGTCCTGCTTCCGAATCGCAACCAATTCACACAGCTCCTCTCTCGATCAGCTGCCATGGCTACCTTGAAGGTCACCTACCAGTCCGAGGTACGCCGATGCCTCCTTGCGAGCGTCCGGCCCAGCTTTGAAGAGATCACAGAGAGCATTGCGGAGCTCTTCCCCGAAGCCAAAGATTGCACTGCCCGGCACCTCGGAAATCGAAAGGACGCAGATAGTCACGTCTTGCCACAGCAATATCGGCTAAGGTACGTCGACGAGGATGGGGACGCGTGCACGCTTTGCGAGGCTTCGCTGTCAGACTTCCTGGCTCAGGCAGCCAACGGCGTGAACATGGCCAACAGCACAGGCAAGATGGTGCTCCGCCTGGAGCTCGTGAGCCTTCCTCAGGCCGAGGCAAGCAGTGCACCCACGGACATCCCTCTTCAGGGCAGTGAGACGTTCCCGGCAAGCGACTCGCCTTCCGATGTCGTGCAGGATCCCGAGCATAGCAAGGATCCGAAGGAGATGCCAGACTGGAACGTCGTTGACGTCCCAGAGGCGAACAAGGATGACAGCATGCCACCACAGACCAGCAACAGCCAGGCCACCGTACAAGGGCCCGACTCCATGGCAATGTCCGCGAAGCACAGCCAGGTTACGAACATGCAGGAAGCCTTCGAAGGCAGCCAGAATGACAGCGTGCCTGAGGCCATGTGCGAGGCAAGCAACTTTGCGATGCCATTGCCTGCCGACAGCAACGAAGCCGTCAACGGCGAGAAAGCTCCTTGCAGCAAGGGCAAAGGCTACAAGGGCAAAGGCAAGGGCAAAGGAAAGTTTGGATGGAAAGGGCATTGGTACGGCCCCGAGCACCAGCAGGAAAAGAGCAGGGCTCCAGTACTGATATGTATAGGGATCTGAGTAATTGCTAACGGTACCATATTACAGTATGGTCCCTGTATCTCCCTATCGTAGTTATTCGATACTGTACCCCGAAACCAAGACCCTTAAATTAGGTCCTTGCAGGCAGCACAGCTCATACTGTTAGAGGCAGCACTACTTGTAGATCGAGCTCTTATTGTCTCAGCACAGGAGCACCCTTCGCAAAGCTGGTGGCAGGGATGGCGCGGATGGTGCGAGTGGGAGCCCGAAGACGCCGACGTGCACCATGATGCCGGCGAGACACGTGAGGATCCACCCGACAACGCAGACCAAGCAGGCAGCTGCAAGGGCAAGGGCAAGTTCAAGGGCAAGGCAGGTAAGTGCGGCAAGGGCAAGTTCGCGTGGCACTGCCCGGACGGGGAGCAGGAGCACCAGCGGCGGCAGAACGGTGCTGTGAAAACCCACGCCAGAGTGATAGATAGTGATATCCAAGCCCCATCTTGAGTCTCAGCTCCCATGCGAACCGCGGATTGTGGTTTGCTTCTGTTCTCGCAGGAGCCTTGGTGGCAGTGGTACGGTTGGCCGCAGTGGCGCCAGCCGGAAGCCACGGAATGGGCAGCCCCATCTCCGCAGGCGATTGAAGACGGGCGAGAGTATGCGGTTGGTAGACCGACAGCCCCCAGATTCCGAGCTCAACCAGTGTCCCATGAAGTACATTCCTCTTTATCTCGAGCACCGGAATGGCAATCCCTAAACTTGATCTCTAGAAGGATTGAATGCCACAACCCTAGAGCCCCGCACCAGCAAAGTTCATCTGCAGGTGCTCGCCGACCGGTTTGTTCGGGCACTGCCCCACGTGACGGCCAACGTCTATCAGGCAAGGGCTGCAGGGTCGTTGGAGCATGGTTTCACTGTTTCCTCAGCAAAGGGAAGCAACAACTAGAAAGCTCACGAAACAAAGAGTCCTGTGCATGCTGACACACTGGTGCTGGCTCTCCGGAACCTAGGGTCCAGCCAACTGCAAGAGGAAGACTAAATGAGAGAGCAAATGCGGGGTTGGTGAACAGACCCTGCAAACCAGGCCATGACCTGGTAGGACTTCCGTGTAGCTGGCGATTGCCTTTTTTCAGCCACATCCTGCAGATGATCGTGATGCCACCTGGGATACCCCAAAAAAACTGCCAACGCCCCCGAAGAAGTCCCGCGCACAGGGCCTCGAGGCCTGCGGTGAGCGCCTCTGCGCAACCTTGTGCCTCGGTGTGTAGAGTTCGTTTGGGTAATATAGGGACCTTAATAATTACCCATATTATTGTGGGGGTTCCTTACTATAATAATTATAGTATAATGGGCCCCACAACCCTATTCTAATTATTAAGGCCCCTGTAATACTTCGGAAGGAGCAGGTGAGAAGGCCTAGGCTGTCTGCTGAGTCGACTAAAGGGAGCTCCAGAAAGCTGGAATATGGTTTCAGGGTAGGATACCCTATAGTTTACCATAAAAGGTTTAGGATAATCATATTCCAACTTTCTGGCTTTTACTGTAAGACTACCGGGTGCCCTGGTCTGCGGGAAATCCCGGTTGCATACACCTTCTGAGAGGATTCGCGGCTTCAGCCTTGATGTTTAGGGTTTAGGGTTTAGGGGTTTAGGGGTTAGGGTTTAGGGTTTAGGGGCAGTTACCGGTCCTCTTCGCAAAGTTCAAGCTTCGGTACCTGTGACTCTCATGACAATCATAAACACCCCTGCCAAAAGCGGACATCTTGGCAAACGGGGCCACACTGCACCGGAACCCATAGCCCCCGAACTTCAGTGTGCCCAAACCTTAGCCTTTGAATCCCTAAGTCCGATACCCCTCGTGTAAACGCCTGCACGCTAAACGCACCGTGTGGCTAAGGCCTGCAGCAAGAGACGCGCTGCAGGAGCTCCGCAGATTTCGTAAGTGAGAAGAAGCTTCATCTAGAAGGGTGTCCTAGATAAAGAGAAACGGCTAGTCTGTGATCAGAAGAACAGATAGACATTGTTGCATTCGCAAACACAGCTGGGCTGAATCCGTTCACGTCAGTCCATGGAGTACTCTAGTAGTATGTACGTAATGAACGTAATGTGCACACACACACACACATATATATATATATATATATATATATATATATATATATACATGTACATGTACATGTACATGTACATGTACATGTACATGTATATGTATATGTTTATGTATATGCATATGCATATGTATATGTATATGTATATGTATATGTATATGTATATGTATATGTATATGTATATGTATATGTCGATGTCGATGTCGATGTAGATGTAGATGTATATGTATATGTACACACACAAATCATATACGCACATATGTACATATATGCATATGTGCGTACGTACATACATACATGCATACATACATTTGTGTGCGTATATATATATATATATACACACAGATATGCACAATGCTACGTACGCATAGCTAGAGTTTGAAGTGGAGAATAAGCCTGTTCTTAACTCATGACTAGTCCTGCAACGCAGCCCAAGCCCGGTTACGGATGCTGCCCTGCCTGCAGTTGTTGACCTTTGAATCACCGGGACCTTTGCAGGGACAACATCCGAAGTTGTAAAGTCTCCCACTTCCCAACCCTGCGCCTTCGATCCCTCAGCCCCGAACCCTCAACCCTGGAAGTACTAGAAGGAGCTTTGGTCCATCCTTGGCCAAAACAACCTCCAGAGCCTTAGCCGCACTCGCTGGATGCAATGTGAGGCGATAAGAGAATTCTACCTGCAGTTTAGTGTAGAGCGGTTTAGCTCGGCTGGCTTGGTGCTGACATTGTGCCATAGAAGAATGTAACATGAAACCTGCTCAGAGATGTCGTGCGTAGCATGCCGACATCAGTCCCAGCCCGGAGCCCTGCATCGGTGAACCGGAAGCCCTGAATCGATCCACTATAGGGGCTTTAATAATTAGAATAGGGTTTCGGGGGCTCCTTATTAATTATAATCATAGTATACTGTCCCCCAAAACCCTGTTGTAACTATGAACGCCTGTACATTAATCATGTGGGGTTCTAGGGTGGGGGGTGCGGTCTTTATGGGGTTGAGTGGGCTAGGTTGGTTTAGTGTCAAGGGAGTGATTGGTGTGCAGTCATGGATGTTCTTAAAACCCGAACTAAACTGCGAAACTATGAAGCTCTGCACCTATAATACCTTGAGTCTCTTCTTCAGATAACACCCCGAACCTTGAGGAAACCCTAGGAAACCCCTAGGAAACCCTGCAAAGCCCTATGAGAGCCCTGCCAGGCTCCCGCAACCCGAAGCACTAAACCCTCACCTCCAAGCCCAAAGCCCTGAGCTCTAAACTCTACAGTCGAAGCCGAACACCCCGAAACCCCAAAGCCCTAAACTCTAAGCCCTAAACTCGAAAGACACGAAACCCTGAATAAGCCCTTTCAAAGACCTCAGGGCTGAGCAGCAGCTGGCACGTTTCCTCGCCGAAGCCCCTGAGCCTTCTCTGGATTTTTCCTTTTGGTGTAGGGTTTTGTGAAGTTGTGGAGGTATCATTGAGTATCATGCTTTGGTTTTAGCCCGGAAATGGACTTAACACTACATGGACCCTCAAGCCTGAACCGTCCCTCATGGAGAGGTGACGCCGGAGAGTGCCAGCCAGTTCCTGGTGGCCTTTCTGAGTGAACTGGAGGTCCGGCGCGTTGGGGTGAAAGAGTTCTTGAGTCTGGACGTAGGATGCGGCACGCGAGACGTTTGACTAGTTCTTCTTCTGCTTGTAAGAGCGCATCTCTTCGCATTCCAGGGGCTCGTTGCATAGGGTCTGCTTCATTGCGAGCTTGGAGCATCGGGCCGACAGCATCTCGAATTAGAGAGCTGTGCTTGTGTTTTTCGACTCGTTTTGCTAGCTGCTTGAGTGGTGCCATCTCGCAGAGCTCAGGCAGTTGAGCAGACAGCTCATGATGACCCCACCCGCCATTCCCAGTGAAGCAGATTAATGCAGAGTGTGTGAGCATTTGTTCTTGATTCGCTGCGCCTCAGGCTCTAGACGAAGAGAAGAAGCTGAACGTCATGGCACGCTTCTTCGAGTCTCAAGAGGAGCGTCTGCAGAAGATCTTGCAGTGGAGCAGTCCGCAGCTGCCGGGCCTTTTCTTGCTGGGCATGCTCGGGCATGGCAAGGGCGGGAAGTGGGGAAAGGGCTGGGCAAAGGGCAAGGCCAAGGGCAAATGCTGGGTCGGTTCTCACATGGCAAGGGGTGCAGATGAGACAGTGCCAGTGAGCACCACCGACGACCAGCATAACCAGCCGGCCCATGACCCTTCATGGAATTATTTCCTCAACGTGCCCAAGGATCCGAACTACGTGCCGTACGCGGCTCGAAAGGACAAATCTTTGTCGTTGGCAGAGCTTACGGTGGCAGCGGGTGCAGAGCCCGCTAGCAGCAGCGATGGTCAGCCTGTGGACGATCCTTTGTGGAACTCCTTCCTCAACTTGCCCAAGGATCCAAACTACAAGTCCTACGTGGCTCGCAAGATGGAGAAGTTTGCCTCGAGGATGCAGAAGAACCGCTTCGAGCCGGACCAGGCTTAGTGGCCGCCGGCTCCGGGATACTTCCAGGCCACTTGGAAAATGAGTGGGGTAGAATATACCCTATAGACTATAATTACAATAGGGAGCCCCCCAAATAGTTTAGGTGATTTCTTAAGGCCGCTATAGTCCTGAACCATTCTTTTTCGGTTGGGAAACCCTGCGCAGAGGACGAATGCCTTGACGGTGCCAGTCTGCTCTCGACGCAAGTTTCGTCATTGCGGCGCTTGGCCCGAGCCGTGAGAGGACAGAGCCGTTCAGTACCACGTATAGGGGCCTTAATTTGATAATTAACTCTACTATTTTGGGGGGCTCCTTACTATAGTTATTACCCCAAAACCCTATTCTAATCATTAAGACCCCCACATTAGGGCCATGTGACCGGCCCATGGGGTGGCTTCTCCAGATCGTGTCTTGAGATGTATCAAGCTCCCTTGGGTTCATGTGCTCCAGCGAGAAGTCGCCGCGTGGTTGGTCGCAATTCTGACGTTTAAGAGCCCGCACTGAGGGGCTTACTGGAGGCCTTAACAGAGGAGCATCGCCAAGGCCAGGCGAAGGCCTTGAGTGGAGTGACACCGAACAGGTCCTCCTCGAGGCACAGAGCCTTGGCCTTGTCAGGCAGCTCCAAACTCTTTCAAGCCACTCACACCAGGCACTTGTGTTCACAGGCCTAGGTGGAAAAGATTTCAGATGCCCCGCCGTACGACGGCTTTGACTGCCCTTCATTGCTTGTCTGTGCCCTTCCCGCAGGTCCCCAAGTTCTGGAAATCCCGTGCTTGGTACTGACCTGTGCGCCCGCCCCACTCAGCCAAGAGTGTTCGGAAAGGCGTTGTCCTGACCACCGAATTGCGATAGACAGCCATGGCATCCGCGGCTGTCTTGAAGGTCACCTACCAGTCCGAGGTACGCCGATGCCTCCTTGCGAACGTCCGACCCAGCTTTGGAGAGATCATTGAGAGCATTGCGAAGCTCTTCCCCGAAGCCAAAGATTGCACTGCCCGGCACCTCGGAAATCGAAAGGATACAGATAGTCACGTCTCTTGGAAGCATGCCCCCGCAACATCGGCTAAGGTACCTCGACGAGGATGGGGACGCGTGCACGCTTTGCGAGGCTTCGCTGTCAGACTTCCTGGCTCAGGCAGCCAACGGCGTGAACATGGCCAACAGCACCGGCAAGATGGTGCTCCGCCTGGAGCTCGTGAGCCTTCCTCAAGCACCCACGCTTCCGGAGGCCCTGCCACCCAAGGAGGCGCCGGAGGCAAGCCCGAAGAACACGGCACAGGCTTTCGAGGTCGTCAACTCGCTTTCGGATGGACTGCTCCATGGTAAGGGCACAGGCTGCAAGGGCAAGGGCAAGGGCAAGTCCGGCAAGGGCAAGGCGGGATGGAAAGGCCGCTGCCACAACGAGCAAGAGCATGAGGAGAACGAGGATCGTATCGCCCTGCTTCCCCTAAAGAAAGCCGTTGTCCGAAGTTTTCATGCTGGCCCCGGCCACTGTCTTGAGCTTCGGTGGAGTCCTCAAGACCCTAACATTCGCACTCCGCATGCGTGCGTGGCCTTTGGGTCACTTGGACTCTTCAGGAGTGGCCTTGGTGGAACTGGTACGCCCGACAGCAGTGGTTCCACACGGGAGCTGCACACTCGGTGGCGGCAGCACTGTCTCCACAGGCATGCCTGCATCACTGCTTTTTGTTCTGTGGTGGTAGTGGTAGTAGTGATAGAGTGGTGGTAGTCGTGGTAGTCGTGGTAATGGTGGTAATGGTGGTAGTGGTGGCAATGGTGGTAATGGAGGTAATGGTGGTAATGGTGGCGGCAGTGGTAGTTGTAGTGGTAGTTGCTGTGGTCGTCGTCGTCCTCGCAGCATTGGTAGTAGCAGTAAGTAATAGTAGTAGTTTTTCACTACGCGTCATAGCCGGCATGGTCGCAGTATTGTGTGGCATGCATGTGCATGCCTGTGCACGCATGGATGGCTGGCCGGATGGATGGACGGATGGATGGATGGGACGGAAGGACGGACGGACGGACGGAGGGAGGGAGGGAGGGATGGATGGCTGGATGTACGTATGTATGTGCAGACGTGTGTGTGTATGTGTGTGTGTGTGTGTGTGTGTGTGTCTGTGTATGTCTGAACGTACGCGTACGGTACGCGTACGGTACGGTACGGTATGGGTATGGTACGGGTACGGGTACGGGTACGGTTACGGTACGCTACGGTACGCGGTACGGTATACGGTATAAGCGGTACGGTAGGGTACGGGTATGTATGTATGTATGTAATATAATGTACGTAAGTAAGTACATGTGCTCCTTGATTGTTGGGCCGACATGAAGCCTACATCTGTTTCGTCTTTGTGATTTGCTTCGGCTACCTGCAGGTGCTTGCGAGCGCCTTTGTTTGCGAACTGCCGCGAATGGTCACAAAGGTACGTGAGCAGGCGGGGTGATTCGAAGATCTCGAAGCCGGAGCTTTGAACACGAGCATTTCTCAGTTATCCTCTTGTTCCGGATTTGTGTCCTTGACACTGGCGCTTGGGTGAGGCCTACAAGGTCTTGTAAAGGAGCTTGAGTTCCTCAAGACTGAGCCCAGAAGTCTCAAGCCCAAGCAAACCCGAACGGTTTAGGGGTTGAGGGTGCAAGCAATTGCCATAATGCTCGTGGATCCCTCTTGAAGGTACCAGAGGCCTTGGGCCAACCGCTGTGCAATGCTCTGTGCCTGGGCAAACAAAGGCTTGTGGGGGTTCGGCTTTTTGTGTATTTCGGGTTCGAGGTTAAAGGCTTGCGGAGGTTTTTTCCTTCGGGTTAAGTTAACGGACTTGTGTTCATAAGCTTGAAAGTGCTCACTTCGAGCGTGTCCGGTCAGTTCGGGCTGTCCCTGCTTGAGTGGGAGTTTGGAGCATAGGGTGTGTCTCAATGATCCACCCTAAACCCAAGAGGCGAAACCATGCCGGTTTTGGCCGGCGGAGTGTAGTGTGAATCTTGATCTTCTGGGCTGTCCGAGCCTGAATTGTTCATTCCGCGAAGTTGTAGCACCAGCCGCCGTGCAACTTCACGACAAACTGCACTCCGACTTACTGTGCCGCTGTCTAAAAACAGAACACAGCCTGAAGTTCAGGCCCTCCTTTTATGCCTGGGGCTGCAGTTTCTTCTGTCCAGAGTTGAGGGGCCTTCGGCTTATCGCAAGAAACCGAGAGTGCGGACTTGATACTTAGAGCTACTTTGTCCATGAGCCTCCAGACCCAAAGCCGTTCTGATCTCAGGGCTCAGAGGGGCTGGAATGTGACGCTTTCTGATGCGGATTCCTCAGGGCTGCGGCACCAAAAACCACCCGAGGGTTCGGTTCAGGGTTGAGGCCTCTGACTTAGCCCAACCTTCAGCTCAAAATCTCGGATGGCCTGGAGCCCTTGAGCAACTCTCAGGGGCTTCCTGCCGGCTTTGTCAGAGGCCTTGCAGGAGCACTCTCCCAGTCGGGCTACCTGCTCTTGTTTCTACGCCCGCTTGCTGCTACTGCTTTATGCTTTTGCTACATGCGTCGTGGGACAGGAAGTGTGATCTGCAAGTGGTTGAGGGTAAGTTTCCGTTCTTTCGTGTGGAAGAGCCCGGATTATTAAACGCGTGCTTCATGAAAATTTTCCTTACAGTCCTGTTCGAATGCTTTCTTTCTAGATCCTGCAAGCTCCTGAGCCTGACTAAGTTGAAGACAAGGGTTTGGGGGCACATGCTGATATAGTTTCCGAAACCAGCGATTTTCCCAATACCTGCGCCTCCCAACCCTGGATTCCGCCAACCCCGGATCCAAAGCCACCGAATCCAAAGCCCAAGCCGAAAACCGGGTTTTGAAGTCTTACCGGAAGGAGCTTTGGTCGCTCCTCGGCCGAAACAAGCTCCAGCGGCTTAGCTGCAGATCTCTGAGCTGCACCCGAAATTCCTCAGCCTGATGTGTCGTGCTTGTGCTACTGCTACTGCTGCCGGGACTACGTTGTCATTGTGACGACTGCGACGATCTGAACAAAAAATCGTGGCCCAACACCTACAGCTAAAACTTCCACTGCCATTACCACTGCAACAACAGCTACGGCCACCACTGCTGTTGTTGCTGGCATGCTACTACTACTACTACTACTACTACTACTACTACTACTTCTTCTCCTGCCACTAACTGCCACTACTACTACTACCACCACTACTACCACCACCACCACCACGACGACTACTACTACTACTACTACGACGTCACTACTACTACAACTACTACTACCACCACCACTACCACTAGTCCTACTACTACCACTACTACTACTACTACTCCTCCTCCTCCTCCTGCTACTACTACTACTACTACTACTACTACGACTACGACTACGTATATTGAGTAGTACAAGTACTACTTACTATGTACTACATACTACTTACTACAGTAGCTCCTAACTGCGCTACCCACAATGCTCATCTACAAACCAGCTACTAGCTACTACCTACTACTTACGACTCGTAGTACAAGAGGAGGAGTCACAAACCCAGAAAAGCACGACAGCTCTGAAATGGCCGAGGGCCGAAAAACACCTGGGACGATTCCTAGCCGAGGCCCGCAAACCAGCTTGAATGCTTTGAGTCTTGAGATGAGCAACCATGGTTCAACCAAGAATAAAAATACGATTGAGGCCAACACCTTATGGGTCTGATGATGGCTCTGATCAGGATCTTTAGCTCCAGCGTCGCTGCTAGCTCGTGAGGAGTGTACCTTGCAATGACGGTAAGATCCAGCATACAAGCCGTGCAAGTAATAACGATCCAAGACAGTTGTGTCGTTTTACTGTTGAAGTTGAGAAGCGGTTTGGGAATATGCAGGCTTCAAAGGTGCATGCTGTAATGCGATGTTGTATTCCCTGTCTAGAATCTTGGGTCTGGGGTCAGGCGTTTCATGTCTCGGGCTAAGGCTTGGGGGCATTTTTGCGGAGTCAACAAGAAGCCTCTCTGCAAGGCTTCTTGCATTGCTCTCCGTCGCAGCCTGCAATCCGTATATCCATGGTCGAAATAGCGCTGCAAAACTATGAATCACAACAATCCGGATGAAGCTGAAAGCATGTGGAGCTTGGCAAAGGTGCTTTGATTCTTAAGTCTTGTCAGACCTTGAGCTATCAACCTCAAAACCAACCAAATTCTACAGCCTGAACTTACGCCCTTGCCTAAACGCGAAACTGATTGAACAAGGACAGAAAGAGAAGATCCTACCCCTTTGCTTGGGATGCTTGAAATATGAATCAACTGGCCTCCTGCCAGCACTGGCTGCGAGGTGACGCCAGAAAACGGCGGCCAGTTCTTGCTTGCCTTCCTCAGTGAGCTGGAGGCCCTGGTTTTAAGGGGGGGGTGTATCAGGGGTTTCATGTTATCCAAGCTGTTTAGTTGCGGAGTCAACTTGGGCCAATGATCTCAGCTTCCCGAAGCGGCGTCTAATTTCAGGATCTGAAATCGCAAGCCGTCCTACCCTAAACCCCGAATACCCTGAAGCCGAAGATGAGACGCACCGCTCCCGGAGGCCATGGATTTCCAGGATAAGCTGAACTTGATGGCCACTTTCTTCGAGTCGCAGCACGATCGCCTGCATAAGGCTTTTTGGAGGCTTGGAGCGAAGCCATGAACCCTGAAATCCTCAAATGCAGACCTCCAGACCCTTGAACCTTAAACCCCTAAGCCACTAAACCACTAAACTCTAAACCTTTTCATAGCCTCTGAAGGTTGGAGCAGAGGCTCCCATTCCTACCAGGGCTTCTGGAGCATCCTGGCGTGCAGTGCGATGGCTGTGGTGCTGCGCCTCTACTCGGCCCTCGCTTCAAGTGCGTTTCCTGTCCTGACTATGATCTATGTGGTGTATGCTACGCAAACAGGCTGCATCTGCATGGGGGCGACTGTGACACGCACGACTTCACATGCAACTTGTCAGAGGCCACTCACCCTCTGCACATGAAGCTCATGGCTCGTGCATTGAAGCACTCTGGGCCTTTAACCTTTGTCCTGGGTATGTTTGGATTGGACGGCAAGCATGCGAAAGCTGGCAAGGGAAACGCCAAGGGGAAGCATAAGGTCTCAGGGACGGGCCCAGTCGACCAAAGCTGTGACAGAAGCACCGGTGGATGTGCGGATCCCCCGGTGCAAGGCAGCTTCTTCAATTGGGGTGGCAGACCCTCGGACAACAGTGCTGGAGAAAGTGGTGCAAAGATCAGGCGCTGTGCGACAGACGGCTGTCAGTACCAGGCTCACAAGGGCGACTACTGCTGTGGGGCATGTGCCAAGGGCAAGCGTTGTGGACATGGCACACGCTGCCAGCGTGCCCTTTTCGACGGTGGAATGGCTCCCGAAAGTGTGGGCTGTCAGGAGGGTGGCAAGCGTTGCGCAACACCTGGCTGCCAGTACCAGCCAACTTGGCATGCAGAGTACTGCTGCAAAGTCTGTGCCAAAGGAAAAGGTAGCCATGGCCCGAATTGCGAAAAGGTAGCAGCAACATGCAGCGACAGCAGCGAAGATACAGAAAGCAAGGCCATGGAGATCAGGCGCTGTGCGACAGACGGCTGTCAGTACCAGGCTCACAAGGGCGACTACTGCTGTGGGGCATGTGCCAAGGGCAAGCGTTGTGGACATGGCACACGCTGCCAGCGTGCCCTTTTCGACGGTGGAATGGCTCCCGAAAGTGTGGGCTGTCAGGAGGGTGGCAAGCGTTGCGCAACACCTGGCTGCCAGTACCAGCCAACTTGGCATGCAGAGTACTGCTGCAAAGTCTGTGCCAAAGGAAAAGGTAGCCATGGCCCGAATTGCGAAAAGGTAGCAGCAACATGCAGCGACAGCAGCGAAGATACAGAAAGCAAGGCCATGAAGATCAGGCGCTGTGCGACAGACGGCTGTCAGTACCAGGCTCACAAGGGCGACTACTGCTGTGGGGCATGTGCCAAGGGCAAGCGTTGTGGACATGGCACACGCTGCCAGCGTGCCCTTTTCGACAGTGGAATGGCTGCGTGGAAGAACGACGCCACGGGTAGTATCAACGAGACAGGCCCAGAGGCCGGATCGAAGAAGATTGCTGGCAAGCCGTGTGCAGCAGCAGGATGCACATATCAGGCACGGTTGTGCGAACATCCTCAACCCCCGACACAGCTTCCCGCAGAATAAAGGTCGTATACCCAACAAGCCTTGTGAGCCCAGCACTAGCACCTTGCCACGCCAGGTGACTTGGCATGAGACTCATTGCTGCTATGCTTGCGCTGCCCATGGGCCTGGGACCCATGGCCCTCACTGTGAGAGGGTGGAGCAGTAGAGTATTGATCTTCCAAGGACGGTCCGACTTCTTCAAATCAGGGCTTAATACACGACTACGAATACTAATAGGGTTGTCCCGATGTAGCCGTAGTACAATATACACCAAAACTTCGTTAATTTTGTTTAACGGCGCCACGTCATTCATCACTAGTGTGGAGATTCATCCTGTCCCCTACTTCCAAGCCAGCCGCCAATCTCGGGGCAGCAAGGGGCCTTGGTTAGGCAATGCACCATGAAGTTCGAGCATTCAGGAGACCGTCTATTCAGGGCGTGGCGCGCCTGCAAATGCTTCCTCGGGCAGAGTGACAGGAACAGGTCGTCCTCGAGGCAGAGCTTTGCCAGGCAGAGCCCAAACCTACCATTGTCACACGAGGCACTTGTGTTTACAGGCCTCGGTGGAAAAGACTGGCAGTGTACCGACTTGCCGTGCTCAGGCGTTTCTGCATATGCGCATGCTTTCTACTATTGCTGTCCAAAGAAGATCATGATGAAAAACATGGTCAGCCCGAAGTGCGGGCAACTTCGATCTGCATTCTCAGACCTGTCGGCCTGCGGGTGTTTGTCTTTCGGCGGTCGTCGGGCTCTCGAGTGTTGATTAGCAGAGAGTGCGAGAGAGAGAGAGAGAGAGAGAGAGAGAGAGAGAGAGAGAGAGAGAGAGAGAGAGAGAGAGAGAGAGAGAGAGAGAGAGAGAGAGAGAGAGAGGGAGGGAGAGGTCTCTAAACCAACTAAGTGAAGGTCTCAAAACTTGCCTTTGAGTGCGTGATTGCAACATCCTGGCACCCGCAATAGTCTGGGGCGCACAACGGCACGGTGAGGGGGAACCCTCTTTCACGGCCTTGGCGAAAGAAAGAGAGAGAGACAGAGACAGACAGAGAGAGAGAGAGAGAGAGACAGAGAGACAGGGAGACAGGGAGACCAAGAGACAGAGAGACAGAGAGAGACGTGTCCTTGATAGTATGCGCTCATTTGTACGTCGTTATTGCATTCGATAAGGCTTTAGCCCACAGATGAGCTATACTCGTTTTTCACTCCCCTCTGCCCAATAATGATTGCGTGGACTTTGAAGGCCGGGAACCTTGACCGGTCCCTATGCCCAGGAGAGAGAGAGAGAGAGAGACAGAGAGACAGAGAGACAGAGAGACAGAGAGACAGAGAGACAGAGAGACAGAGAGACAGAGAGAGAGAGAGAGAGAGAAAGAGAGACAGAGAGAGAGAGAGAGAGAGCGAAAGATAGAGTGTGTGCAAGCAAGAGAGAGAGAGAGAGAGAGAGAGAGAGAGAGAGAGAGAGAGAGAGAGAGAGAGAGCACTGAGAGAGAGGGTGAGCGAGGGCGAGGGTGAGGGTGAAGGTGATCGTGAGGGTGAGACAAAGAGTGAGAGGGAGGAGAGGGAGAGGGAGAGGGAGAGGGAGAGGGAGAGGGAGAGGGAGAGGGAGAGGGAGAGGGAGAGGGAGAGGGGCAGCAACACACGACTTTTTCCGACAACCCCACAACCCGGACGTAAGTGCCTTTGGAAGCCTCGCCGTGCTTGCTACGACTGTTCGACATTGGTTCATGTCCATTTACCAGCAAATCCTCGAGCTTGGAAGAAACTCCAATCAACCCACATGTAGCAGGCCCCGAGAACTGAACCCTAGTACTCATCACACACTAGCTATCCTTTTGCTTCTTCCTCCCATGCTACAGGTGCCACGCACCTCCGCGGGCGGTGCCGCCCGCGCGGTTCGATCCCAGCAGCCCAAGAGGCCTGAGGGACTTTGAGAAGAAAGGCGAGCAGACAAGAACAGCAGAGGCTAAGGGGCAGAGAGAGAGAGAGAGAGAGAGTGTCAGCGAATGACAATAACAACATTAATTTCCGGGAGTATCGAGTAAGCTAGTGTCAGGATGCAGAAAAATGACTATGTTTTCAAAACCTGCTTCTTGACAGCACAAGGCAGACTCTTTGTGGCTGATAATCCTCCTCCAATATCAAGCGCTTACCACCACGGCCGCCGCGACCACTGCTACTACTCCCTTCACTACTACCTTCTACTCCTGCTACACTACACTACACTACACTACACTACACTACACTATACTACACTACACTACACTACACTACACTACACTACACTACACTACACTACACTACACTACACTACACTACACTACACTACACTACACTACACTACACTACACTACTACTACTACTACTACTACTACTACTACTACTACTACTACTACTACTACTACTACTACTACTACTACTACTACTACTACTACTACTACTGCCACCACCACCACCACCACCACCACCACCACCACCACCACCACCACCACCACCACCACCACCACCACCACCACCACCACCACCACCACCACCACCACCACCACCACCACCACCACCACCACCGCCACCACCACCGCCACCACCACCACACTACCCCACCGTACCCACTCTCATATTCACTTCTGCCTCTTGTTCATTTCCATCATCAGGCTCACCTACCTGATCCCCATCACGACCTGGCATCATCATCATCATCATCATCACCGTCACCATCATCAGCGTGATCACCATCTCGGTCATCATCATCGTCATCATCACCATTTCCTTCGAACCGTTATTCTCATTGTCAACGCCATATGACGGTCAGCATCGCAGCATTGGCACCATTACCACTACTTGCATCACCGGTGCCACGAGCAGCCGCATATCCAAAAAGCTTAGAGTCAGCTCCTACATAAGACCTCCACGTAGCTTGCTGTGCGTTTGCCCGGCAGCCGGGTCTGTTCCACGAGCAGTTGCTGAAGTAGCCTTTGTTTTCATGCGTACCGGGTCATGAACACTTCAAATTCATTGAACTTTAAGTTTCTGGTCCCCCAACTTCCATAAACCCTGAACAACCCGTTAAACCCCGCAGTACAATTACACAAAAGCATCGCATAAGCCATCTGCATCTGAAGGCGCGCAGAGCGCCCCGCTCCTCTGGAGAGCACCGAAGGCCAAGTATGCTTCGTGGCATCCGGGTTGTCGGTTGCGGGTTCGGAGTATAGGGTCGCACACCTTAAGCTCTAAACCGGGAGTTAGGATTTGTAGAAATAATCGCGGAAAAGAAACTGGGTCGTCACAGCTTCAAGGGTTTGGGACTTGCTCGGCTGCTAGTCGAGCCTGCCCAGCATTATGACTACATCCCAGCGATGCCCAGCATATTAATTCTGATTTGTGCTGTCTTTAGCCCGTCTAGGATGCCCAGTAGTACCCTTATTCCCTTTTTGTAGTCCTAGGTTCCTTATAAAGTTACCCAATACCAAAAAGAGAGGCCTTTTTATTCTTAGGTTACTGGGTATCCGTGACTGGTGGCTCCTCAGCCAGGCTCTAGAGACTTCTCGGGATCGTGGCTTGTCTGGTTCGCTTTTGGAATCATTGGTTACCCCACAGCATATCTGAGACCCCGGTCACAATACAGACCCGGATGGCCTCCAGCAGCCCGCAACACCAAACATCGGAATTCTGCATGACGCTGGATCACTGAAGCCTTATCTCCCAAAGCCCTCAAACCGCTGCGTTATGAGGTCTCCTTGCAGCGGAGCAGGAGGAGGCATTGAAGCTTGGGAACTTGCAGATTTCGGGCGTAGGGGTTTGATAGAGTAGTTGTTTTTGTATCCAGGGTTCAGGGTGGGGCTTAGGGTCGTATCAGCGCCTTCATCGCCGACTTCATCGGGTGGCCCCTCCATCCGAGCTGCGCAGCAGGTTTGCGAGAGGTAATCCGGGTTAGTGGAGCTCCTGCGGATTTCGGAGAGTCTTGTCACGAATACACCCTTGCCCTTAACCCAGAAACGTCAAGCCCTTTGTAAATACCAGCACCCTTAACCCTAACTCCTGAACCGCAAGCCCTAAACCCTGAACCTGGAACCTCAACCCCAAACCCTGAGCCCTGAACCCTGTGGAAGAGGGTTGGGTTGAGTCTTAGGGTTCTCATCGTGGCAGGAGGAGCTGCAGAACTATTTTTGCATCCGCTTGGAGAAGGCACTTTGCATCCTGTCTTTGGGACTCGTGCCCTGTGGCAAACCCACCAAAACGAGTTGTCACACGAATCGTACCAACGCTCTAGTAGCAACAGCCGGAAAGGTAATGGTGATGCTAGCAGCAGCACCAGCAGAAGGAGGAGGAACGACGATCATGAGAAATAATGGGTTTCATATCCGCAGGCGTAGCGATCAGCGCGCTGTATGTCAGTTGCAATCGCAGTCGCAGTCGTCGCCGTGGGTGCTATGACATCAACCACTGTGACGTCACGGTTGCTTACGTCACTGGTAGTACGACAAACAACATCATGCTTCAGCAAACTGATCGCCATTTCAAGAAATTCATGCAACTAGTCATTGACATACCAGAAAGCTAGATCAAGCCCAGCCAGCAAGACGAAAGACTGGTATATTATAAATTATGTTCTATATTATTACATATTATATATCTTAGACCATCTATTATATATTATTTACTATATATTTTACACTACATATTACAGCAAACTTGATTAGGGCAGCGGCCCCGGCGGCCTTTTGGCCTCCTTGGGGGCAGCGCTGAAGCCGCCGGTGCGTGCCACTGGGCCGCAGGGAAGGGGCCTCTGGGCCCCTAGGGGGGAACTAACGATAAGTGTAGAGGCGCGTTGAAAGGGTTTGGTGGATGTATTGGCGTTGCTGGTGGTTTTTCGGGATTGTGTGGCTTAGTTCCTGCTTTCTCAGGATTTTGAACACGCCCTTCTTTCGCTCGTCCTGGAGCGGAGCAGTAGAAAAACGGAAAAGTGCACCTTCAAGGCCAGGAGGTTTGTTTCTCTTACGGTGTCCATCAGAGGCTCGTGTGGCTGTAGCTGGTCGTGCAGTTGGCATCTTACGTGTCACGACTTGCCCCGCTCTTTGTGATCGTATGTCGCCATTGAAAGACGTTGATACGGGGCTGCTTCTTATGTGCTGGTATTCTTTGAGACGCTTGCCATTCGCTCAGGCCTATCTATCAAAGACCTCCTCACAAGCCCTACACCCTAGACTCGAAATCGGGTGACGATGATAGCATGGATGGCGAGATCGGCTTGTCGCGAGATGGGCGAGTTCAGCATCGTCTCACCAGTGTATGTCTGTAAGAGACACACTAGGGACAACCTAGCCAGTACACAAAAAACTCGAAATCGAAGACCTTACCCAGTGACATCCAAGGACCGAGCGGGAATCCTGCGTCGGTTGGGTGCTCGGCCTTTGATGTGAGTCTGGAGTTCATGTTATATTTTATCTATTTATCGTACCCTCGACTGAAGTCCCCTCGACCCTAAACCCCAAATTCCTAAGCCCCTAAAGTCCGGAGGGCTTCTAGTTTGGGGCCGCTTTCCCAGGGCCGAGGCGCGACGGACAGTCCACCTCAGCCCTGATGAGGAGCGCAGCGAGCTTTACGCTTTTTGGTTTAGGAGGGTTTAGGAGGCTTTGCGAGGGTTTAGGAGGGTTTACGAGGTTTAGGAGGGTTTAGGAGGGCTTTTGGGTGAAGGGGGTTTAGTCAGGATCAGAGTTTGGCGTCTAGGGGCTGTATTCAGGTTTAGGCTTTAGGGCTTGGGTCAGGCTTAGGGGTTTGGTCAGGTTTAGGGTGTCTTTGTTGAATGGTGCCGGGTTCAAGTTTGAGTTTACAGCTGTCGGGTTGGGAGGGGGTCGGGCACAGGCCCGTCAACCTCATCAGGGCCCATCAGGGTTGGCCAGCGGTTGTAGCGCGAGCACAACACAGCGTTTCATCGCGAAGTAGTTGCTGCGAAGCATGACAAGTAGTGCTAGCATTGCGACGAGCCCATTGTTGCTAGGTAATTAGACAGCCAGTTCGGTCAGGACAGTCCAGCACAGCTCGAATGCCGAGTCCTGAACCGTAAGACAGTGAGGAGCAGGATCGTAGCGCAATTTCCCGCTGCTGCCTCAACGTTTCAGAACACTAGCCGCAGGTTGACCGAAGATAATAATTACCTTGCGCGGTCTGTTTGGCAGGAGGCTGCTTGCCCTTTGGTAACCAGCGCCAAAGCTCTCAAACCGAAGAAGCCAGAACCCAGAACCTACTGCCAGGAGGATGTTGGGCTATGGTCCGAGTGGGCAGCATGCCAAGTGCTGGTGTTGCTCGTGCTCCTCTTTGCGCCCTGGTGCCCGCACGTCGTTGCCAGCGTTTCCGTTCTGGACGCCCACGCTTCATGCACTTCCACGCAATCTCTATTCACCCAACTTTCATCTGTATGACCGCCCACAGTTGGCATGTGCCATCGTTGGGGTTGTCACGGGTCATTGCGCTGCGGCTGCACCGCCCTTAAGTAGGAGAATGCCTTCATCACACCTTCCGATTCTACAGGCATTCTTATATAAGACTTTGCTTCTGTAAGAGCAATTTCATTCTTAGGCTTGGGCCCTCCAAGCTTTGATCAATTGGTGTCGACCGCTCTCGTGCTCGAACTAGAGAACGGGCTGGCCCTCGTCTGGTTTATCCAGGTTTGGGTGAATCGAAAAAAGTGCATGATAGTCGTGATCGTTTCCGTGGCAAAACTAAGTTATCAACGAAAAGTAGTGGGAACATGGTCGATGTCAAGTCGAAGTTTCAACCGCCGTAATGATAGTTGAGCTACTCGTCGTGAACAGAAATCAGGGCAGAAGCAAGATCAGCACGACTCGTAGAAACGGTTAGGCTCGAAGCAAGAGCACAAACGGTGATGCTAGTAACGTATTAACGTAGTATATAAAGCCGTCAAGACGCCACGGCAATAGTCTGTGACCTCGGAAACCTGGTTCACAAACTGCAGACTGGAGCGTTTGTTTTACCCCCAATCAGGTCACGAACTACACGCACGCTGGCTTGGAGCGAGCTGTCTCGACGGTTCGCGCGGGAGGGGGGTCGATCTGGAGTAATTGCGTGCATACTGAATGTTTGGTTCTCTATTGTTCCACTCACTGTTGGTTGCACTTGCTGCTCCGTCTATATGATGCGTCGCATTACTGCATTACCAGACGCGATTCCTGCTCATGAGTACCTGAATACAGTCTGAACGGTTGCAGTTTCCTTTCTTTCCAGAACTTGGATCGCAAAGCTCCGCCTTTCATGGCTTACTCGTCATGGATTGCCAGAACAGCAAGGTGTCGGCACTGGTGGAGAAGGCACAAAGCCTCCACCGAAGCGCCCGTCAATTCTTCCTGGGAGGGCTGTCCCAGGAGGCAGTCCCAGCCGAGGCCTCGCAACCCAAGGACGAGCCCAAGATGGAAGCTGCAGTGCAGGCTGTGGCAGCCGCCGTGGAAGAGGCGAAGCAGGAGATTCAGGTGGACGCCAAGTAAGAGCTGCCCAAGGAGGAGGAAGTGAAGGAGGCTGTGGCGGACTTGAAGAACCTGAATACAGTGGTCGCCGATGCCCCGATCGTCCTGGACGCAGCACTGTTTGGTGAGTCCAAGAAGCCGACCTGCAATCTCTTCGGCTGGTGTGCGTGAGAAGTGCATGGGTGCAGACATGTTGTGTGGACGGCAGTGAGCATCTCAACCTCGCAGTCAAGAAAGAAGTTGGGAGGCAAATGTGGAATATCGTACATGCTGACTGCTGACTTGTCCTGCTTTCGGCAGGCCCAAGACTGCAGTCGAAAAGGGGCCAGGGCGAGGCTAGGGCGGACAGGAAGCCAAAGAAGGAGAGATGTCGTTGGTGCATGGGCCTTGAGTGTGGCGCAGGCAGTCAAGCTGAGAGAAGCTCTTTCTCAGCCTTGCTACCCTGGCTGTTTTTTCCACATGCAGGGCTTGTGCGCCCACAGCATCTCTCAAAGCTGCGAGAGATTGACCCTATCGAGGACCACCGCTGGCAAGATGCTCGAAATGTCACGCCGAGAAGTGAAGACCCGAACGACAGGACAAAGTTGCAAGGGGCGAGAAAGTCTAGGACTCAGCGCGTCCGTCTCCGTGTTCTCGTATCAGCTGATCCTCGGACAAAAGAAGTCTGAAAAGCTCCAAGGGGTCGACCCTGGAGGTACGCAAAGACTGACGGCTTACGCCCCTGATATACCGTAGTGATAGTGATGATTCGTCTGGCTGGGCCCCTGCGGCACATCAAGGCAAAAGGCCGAGGAACAGTATCAGCTTCAGGAACCTGAGAGACATCGACAGAAGCCAGTACCACAGCGTCTCATATGGCACCCAAGAGCCTTGGAAAACCCTCGGACAGCCAGAGCAAGCCGCAAGCAATCTGGAAAACGCCGGCAGGGACTAGAGCTGTTGCGTTAATCGCAGGCTATCTACCACTTCTAAACCACATGAACCCGATGAGCCAGATGGTAGAGCTGCACTCTACATGCAAAAACCGAGGACCTGAAGCCCAAAGCCTCAACCCCAAGGCGCACAGTAGTTGCCCGACTAGACCAGGACCATGTAGTGCAGCCTGTTTTGGGAGCGCTATGATCGTTTGGGGAATTTTGGTTCGTCAAGGGCATTTCGAGTCCAAACGCAGGCTCTGAGCCCTACACCTCGACACCCTAAACCCCAAACCCGCACCCGTTCATTTCACTTAGCTGCGAGGCCGAACCGCCATCTTGCGACCCCACGAACAGCCAGCGAAATTCGCAGGCCAGGGTTTTGAGCTCTGCATTTGGAGTTCAATTTCGTGAGGTTGTGGTTGAAGAGATCGAAGTCTAGGGTTGTCAGGAACGCAAAGGTTGAAGCTTGTGGTTGTGCAGCTTCTTAATGCTTTCGGGGTTCAGGCTTTAAGATACGTAGGGTTGCAGAATTGAATAGCTTACCTTTGGTTAGTAGTAGTAGTAGTAGTAGTAGTAGTAGTAGTAGTAGTAGTAGTAGTAGTAGTAGTAGCAGTAGCAGTAGCAGTAGCAGTAGCAGTAGCAGTAGCAGTAGCAGTAGCAGTAGCAATAGCAGTAGCAGTAGTAGTAGTAGTAGCAGTAGTAGTAGTAGTAGTAGTAGTAGTAGTAGTAGTAGTAGTAGTAGTAGTAGTAATTCTACCCCATTCCTCCATTCCCTAGTAACCAAAGGTAAGATAGAGGATCACGGAGCTCGGAGCTGATCGCCATGTTGTCCTGTAGTTCTATAGGGATCATCTCTTGTTGAGGCTCCCTTTTTCTTTTGGGTCCATGGCTTTTGAGGCTTTACGTTTTCAGTGTTCATGGTTTCTCAACTGCTTCTGGGGTCTTTTAGCATTGGACTTTGGGAACTTTCAGGGCGTCGGGGTTGCAAGGTTTCGTGGCTGTCTCATGGGGTCGCAGTGGGTCCCTACGTTGTCTTCTTGTCTTCAGGGTCTGCCACGGGACTTTGGGCGCTCCAGCTGCCGCGCTCACTGCAGACTTTCTCGTCCCTCTCTTGGCGTCTCTCCGTGTGTCTCTCGCTGCTAGCCCTCTGTCTCTGTCTCTCGTGCAACCTCACTCTCACTCTCACTCTCTCTCTCTCTCTCTCTCTCTCTCTCTCTCTCTCTCTCTCTCTCTCTCTCTCTCTCTCTCTCTCTCTCTCTCTCTCACTCACTCACTCACTCACTCACTCACTCTCTCTCTCTTGCTGTCTCTCCTCTCCCTCCTCTTTCCCTCTCTCTCTCGCTCTCGCTGGCTCTCTCCCCCTTCCTTCGGGCTCGCATTGGAGAGGCATTGGTGCTCACTTCAGAGCGCTTGCTTTTTTTGCGACGGCCCCGGCAAGAGTGCAGTGTAACTTTCGGTGATGACGATGACGATGGTGACTCTGCTGCCGTCGCCATTTCCATTGCTACTACCTCTACCGCAGTGTCGACGACGAGAAGGACGACAGCAATGCCCTAAGGTAAACGTGATGACTACCATAAGGCTTGCCAAAGGACGGCCCCGATGATGATGCGGCGGCTTAAACTGCTGATGATGTAATGATGGTGATGACGATGGCGGCAAGGAGCACTACAAGAAACCCTCGTTCATCAAGTTGGTGTCTTTGGCCTTCTGCACACAGCGGCAAACACTAACACATCATCCGAAAAAGTGTAGCAGAACCCTCAATTCTGAACCGTAAACCGAACGAGACTCATGGAACACTGGTCCTTCTCGAAAAAAGCTCGAGGACTTCCGTGGCGATAGTCACGTAAAGTCCGACACTACTAAGCACCCATCCAAGGTGTATGGCATTTGGTATCGGTATAAGATCTGCTGCGCCATAAGTGCACCCTGAACAGCAGGAACTAAACTCACCATAACTTGCTGGTGCACTCTGTTTGGCAAAGTGCAAACACCCATGTCTCTCGGCCTAGGCGCTGTGGTAGCGACTTGGACGTGCTTGGAGATGCGGCTTCGTCTAGGGCTTCGGCATCATTGTAACTCGCAGGTGTCAACAAGAATCCGAAGTTCTGGGGCTTAGGGTTTAGGGTTTAGGGGAGGTGACTGCTCAAAGGATTTCTGATGTTGCTCGTTGGGGGCAGGCAACATCAGTAGGTTTAGGGATCTGGCATTCGGCTTGGGGGTCTCGTGTCATTGAGGCAATAGCATGCACGACAGAGACCATACGAAGCACGCGAGAAACGCAATGCTTGTCACGCCAGCCGACAACATACTCTGCCGTTCTTACCCATCCATATAGCAGAGACAGGCACAATAGTACAGACAGTAGCTACGTCACCGGCAGTCACTATCATCGTATCAGAAGTCGACGCGAACGCTTTTGCAGTGCATCGTAGCAATCGAAAGGGAAGAACACATGCATGAGTTTCTTGGCCTTGTGGCACATATGTGGGTATTGAGGCATCACGCAAGAAATGCACACACCTTCACCAATAGCGAGGTTGTGCTATGAGATTGCCTTCCTATTCTTGGGCTATTGAGTTATTGAGTGTCCGTTGGCTTCGGTGCTGCCGTTGCCAGTCCTGTTAAACCTCCTACTCGCCTACTCCCACTCCGCTTCAATGTCGTCTTTCGCGGCAAGATGGAGAGGAGAACGGGAAGTCTCTGAGGACCCGAAGCCTAAATCCAGCACCCAGGCCGGGCGGCAATGGCCACGGGATGGTCGGTGGCAGAAGGTGGCGCTCCACTCTTGTCAGTCGGGCCGCTACATGTCTTTTGGGTAGTCTTGGTAGGGTGCCGTTGCGGCATCCAAGGTGCGTCATGTGCCCAATTCTTGACGTTATCTTTCCTGTCACCTGACGTAAAACTCTTAAAGCCATGACAGCGAGATACGATGACGACACCTACTTCACTGCAAGGCAGAAGAAGATAGCCATCACATGTCATCGTCGTGCCGTCGCTTGCCTTGTCAGGAGTGGCGCTCTCTGGCCTTCGGCAGGTCATTGTGCCGCAGCGTCGGAGGGCCCAGGGCCAGAAGACCCAAGGTTTTCCTACTCTAGCGCTTCGGGGTACAGGGGTTTAGGGTTGAGGGTCGATCCTGGCCCCTGACGCATCATGAGTCGATCCAGACTTCGCGACTACCTTCTATCCTGTACAAAAATGAAGACCAGGACGGTTGTCGCTGATGAAGAGGTCGTGTTGACCCTGCCCACAAACCCGACTTGGTGAGCTGGGGTCCCGAGTGTTGAGTAAGACTTCAGGAGATAGTGGGCCCTAGCTTTCCTCGGGTCATGTTTGTTGAACCAGTTCAAAGGTTCTGCTCGTTGTTGCTACAGCCCTCAAAACTTTGTTGGTCCCTGCCACAGACCTCCCCTGCGGTTCTGAGTCATCCAGGCTGCGAAACCTTGCTGCTTATTCGGATCCGCAGCAGCGCAGACATTCTGTGAGAAGCCCGGTTTTGGGACTGAGCAAGAGCGACAAGTCGGAATGCATGGAAACGTCCCAATGCCTTCGCTGCGGACGATTGACACCATGATATGTTTTTTGGTTCCGATGGGTTCGTGTATCGTGTTTTCACTTGTACTCTTGCTGCTGCTGCCGCCGCTGCTGCTGCTGCTGCAACATAATCAACGTCGAGGACTACGACTACGACTCGCACCATTGCCACTAGATTCACTAAATAGTACACAACTGTATCACTACTACACGGTTACAGTATTTCACAATAGCATCACTGCACTACCAAACTGCCACTACACTACCGCACTGCAGCACTACCACATCATTACACTACTAGAGTCGAGTACTACGCTGCTACACTACTAGACTACACACTCCGACACCGCTACACTACAAGCCCTACACACGACTACACTACGACGCCACTGCACCATTGAACCACTACACCACTACACCACTACACTGCTACACCACTACACTACTGCCAGCACCACTGCTGCTGCCATTGCCACTACCACTACCCTGCGACTGCACCGCCACGGGTACTGCCACTGCCACAGCCACTGCGACGACGATGACGACCCGTACAACTAACACCACTACACCTGCCGCTAAATCGACTACTACAAGCACGACAACGACGATGACTAACAAGTCTCGCACGATGACTGCGACTGCACTATGGCAAGTACCACGAGGCGAGTGTTGGTACAAGTAGTGTCACTGGGACTGCTACTTCTACAACAGCGGCACCAACAACTGTCCTCATCCATC